GTTTTGTGTGTAAATAAAGTTTTGTGTTTTGTATGGAAATTATTAGTGGAGTTACAGAAGTGAATGAAAACTATTTTATAACAAAAGTTTTTTTTAAACATAAAAACTTTGCTTTCGACGCGTAGGTTGGCGCCGGTATTGATATCCGTGCAAATACTGGCCGTACTGTCGACGGCACCGGTAGACATGCCGCACACGCACCACATAACGGCCCGCATTAGACGGCAAACGTTTCCCAATTATAACTCAAACTTTAATTTCCAAAACTTTTCAAACGCCAATTCATTCGTAAGTATAGTGTTTTGCAAACCATTCAAACAACACTTAATTCATTACAACAACAACAAAACACTACTTTCCTAACCGCCAGTTCCCTCCGCAACCGGACCTATCGTCGGCGTTCAGGCAGCAGTTCCAGTCGATAAACACCGGGAACTCCGACCAGGGATTCAACACAATCCGGCGTTTCCCGCAATTCCCGTCCAGTAGTGGTCAGCCCTCGTCGGTGTTTGGCTCGCAGTCGTCGTCGCAGTTCGGCGCACAGCCCCAACAGCCGGCGCTCGACAACTCAGCCCTACTGCCCCGACAGCCTCAGGTGATATCCGTGCTGAGCGGGTCGGGTGTCGGCGCCCATCAGGCGGTCTCGTGGAACCCGCCGCCCACTATAGTACCCCCGGCGTCCACTAATCGCCAGAAACAGACCCTTCAGATCAGTCCTCAGCCGCAGTCGACGCCACTGTCGTCGTCGGTGTTCGGCTCGTCGTCGGCATCGGAAGGGGAAAGGGATGACGAGTCCCGACAGTCGCGATTCGCGTCGTCCCAATCGGGACCCCAATCGCAGAGCCTATTCCAGGGCTCGTCGGGTAATACCCGCGACTTCGAGACGCCTGTGAACCGAGGCGGCGGACCCTCACTGCCGGCCCCGTCATCGCCGGCAGCGTCGGCGGTGTCGTCGCCGTCGGGATCCGCGTCTTCTTCGTCGTCCTCGACGGCCAACAAACCACAGAAAGACGATGTCGTCATATATTACTACTATTACTACGACGACGACAAGAACAGCAGCAAACCTGCCGGCGCTGACCCATCTCTAGACGCCATACCATCGCTGGAGTCGTTCGACCAAAACAGGAGTCCCAACAGAGGAGACAAACCGGGAAGAGTTGTCGTCAAGAATATGGACAAAGAGATCGTGAAGCCGGCGATCCCGTCGAGACCCACAGCCGCTGTCGTCGACCAGTCGTCGTTTGGCGGCCGACCCGCCGATCACAGCGTCGACTCCCGGCGCCCAATCACGCCGTCGACGCCCGCCTTCTTCGTGAACCCGTCGCCTGCGGCCACACAACCGCCCCAACAGTCGGTGCCCTCATTCGGCTCCGCCTTCCAGAGTCAGCGGGAAGTGTTGACTCCGGGACAGGTAGTGGTGCCCACCCAACAGCCCCCGCTCGAGAGGACCAGTTCGGCGGTCAGTGTGTCGGTGTCAGACAGTGTCAACAGCGCCCCCGTCTCTAACATATTCCGTTACGGCTCGAGAGGGGCCCCCTTCGCGCCCACCGCTGGCGCCGGCAACGGCCCCTCGCAGAGCGTCAGCAGCACCAGTAGTGTCAGCTCTAGTAGCTCGTCGTCCAGCTCCAGCTCCAGTGTCTCCAACGGCAACGCCATCAGCGGCGGCGTTAGTCCCGGTCGACAGCAGAGCTCATTTCAGCCCCAATTCCCGGGTCAGGCCTTCCGACACATACCGCAGCCGTCGACTCAGGAGCCGCCGGTGAGCGCCGTCGTGACGCCCAGTACTCTCGGCTTCGGTCGCATTACGTACACACCGGGCGACGGCTTCCCGCCACCCAAACAACCGGTGGACAACCAGTTGGACTCATTGGGCCGACCGGCCAACCACTTCGAATCCTATACGGTGCCGACACACCCGCCGCCGCCCACCACTCTCATCGTCACCGCACCGCCCACTACGAGCACCACCACAACCACGACCACTACGACGACCACAACCGCTCCGCCACCGCCGTCCTCGACGGCCGCCGCCGAGGAGGAGGCGCCCGACGCCCCGAAAAGATTCGGTAACCGCCGGCGCTTTAACTCCGGTCGCACGCCTTTCCTCAATAGAGTCCGCTCGACGACCAGCACCAGCACCACAACCACCGCCAGTCCCACCACACGAGTCAGGGCCACACGACCGCCGGCCACAGGAGGCTTCCGGCAAAGGCCCGGGAGGTTCAGGAAACGACCGGGAAGTGAGCCGACGGCCGACGAGGAGTCGACGCCAGCGGTCAGCAACCCGTCGACCGCCGCTCCTCCAGCGCCCTCTCAGTCATCGGCGGTCGAAGCGGTGACAACACCAGCGCCTCCCAGAAGGTTTGGCCCCGGAGGAGGGCGTCGTTTCGGTGGCGCCCCCTCGCGCTCGCCAGTCATCAACAGAATTCAAGCGTCAGGCGCCGCCCAATCGACTACCAGCGCCCCCGCAGCGGCGTCTACCCGAGCGCCTGTAGTCTCAATCCGGAAACCGGGCGGTCCGTTGACGGCCTCCCGAAATCGACCGCAACTTCGCGGACGACTGCCATTCCCCAGAGGCAATAGGAATCAGGAGGCGGTCGACGAGTCGAGTCCCGCAACGCCTCCCGTAGCGCCTTCTGAAGCGCCGGTAGCTGCCGACAAGCCGTCCGAAGCGCCGCCGCCGGCAGTGGAGTCGAGTTCTCCGGCGTCAGCGCCCAATACCCCCGAAATGGCCGACAATCAGCCGCCCGAAGAGCCGCCCGCAGAGGCGTCGCCCCCTCCCAGCCCTACGGAAAAGCCTAAGGGAAGGCAATTGAGACCACTGTTCGCCAATAGGCAGCGCTCGAGTCTGTTCGGCAGGCGGGGAGCGGGAGGCGCCGCCCCTGCAGCCAACGGCGGGACCGCCTAATTGGGTGTCAAACGACCCGTTCGTCCTGAATATGAGTTACAAAAAAAACTTTTATTGTTTTGTTTGAGTGAATGGTGTGTTGAATATGTTTTATTTGATATGTTTTTGAGTGCTTTTTTAAAATTGAATTTTGATTTTTGATTAACACGTCGATTGAGATATCATTTTATAATTAAGAGACAAAAATGGCATAAAATTTAAACTAACGATTCAATCCCCAAAAATCCATAGAAAATATGACACGACTTCAACGACAGTAATAATAATAATTTAATAATAAATTAAAATATATGATAGATATATAAATGTTCATTTGAATTACGAGTTTTTTTATTTGCATAATAATCTGATTATAATAAAGAATTTGTTTTAATTTGTTATTTAATGTGAATTCTTTATACATAAAACACACGAATTAATGAGAATTTTGTAAGAATTTAATGTTTTTTATATATTCAATGCAAAAATGCTTTTAACATACATTTGATTCGTAACAGAATTCCACTGTTTTTTAACCCCATCTCAAGAATTATAAGATATTTTTCTGAATGTTTTTTTAATACTCATACAAAATCATTAATTTATATAATTTTTTTATGATATTATATTTGTTTGAATTTGAAATAAAACACAATTTTTTTAAACATAATAAATTGTTTTATTTAGTGATCCAATCATCAATCGATATTCATATTTAATACGATTTTAGATTAGTATTATACAAATATTTTATGAATAGTTGGCTTAATATGAAATTGATTAAAAAATATGCTTTTTTGTGCCAAACTATTTTATCCAGTATGTATGTATTGTCCAATCGATTTCTATAGGCTTTATGACATACACACGGAATGCAATTTAATATCATATTTACTCAACAGGTATTAAAACTAATCAAACTGTCTATTCGTATAGCGTTTGTAAACCTGATACACAATACCTACCGTTCCCTTAATGGCTTAGCACACAATCTGATGATTTGGAGACTACACTGTATATTAAGAATAAAAACAGTGGCTTAGAGTCAACTGATTCTGCGATTTGCACACAAAAAGTCTAAAATATTTCATTTCTAGCATTTTCTTCACTCACTTTTATATCGGATTTTCATTTAAGCCTTAAATGATGTTTAATTCAAAATCAATGATAATTTATTATGTATTTTATAAGAGTATTTAAATTTGCTAAAAACATTGTATAGTATTATAATATTAATTGGTCGTCAAACTCGTGCAATATTTAGGGAATTGTAAAAATGTATTAATATTTTGTATGATAAATCATTTTCTAACTATAATTCTTAAATTAATTGATTTGTCGTTTAAAGACTGTTATGAAAAGGTCGTATTTCAATATTAAGACTACCGGTGCTCACAAATCTGAGTAAATATCTTTTTTAATATAATTACTTTTAATCTCTCTCTCTCTCTCTCTCTCTCCTCATTTTATTTCTATTTAAAATAGTCTATTGTTTGAAGTATTTCTTATGTCTTTTAGATCTAATTTCAATCATAATTTTTATATTCAATTATGTTTTCACTCAAAGCGTAACACAAATTAATGTCATTACATAATCGATTACATAATATTCATACAATGCTTACAAATAACAAAACCTTTCAATTTCATATCTTAACTAAAATCAAATTAATTATTTAATAATAATTGTTTAAATGCATTGTTTTAATGACAAATATTGTAAAAAATATTTATTTTATGTTTCGTACGATAGACACAACAGTCAAACGCTGGAAATGAATGACTTGTTTGACATAAATACCACCGAAGAGTTGGACGATGAAAAGGACGACAATAAGAGGTTTTTATCACAGAATATACAGAATATTCTGTTAATTAATTAGTTATTACACTGTATTTAATGCCATTATAATAGACACAAAACTAAATCCCATGTTATGAACGCTATTATAATTAATTAAAATTAATTTGTGATCCAAACCATAACACAATATATTAGGAAAAGTCGTAACCTAAGCGAAAAGAAGCGCCGGGATCAGTTTAATCAGCTTATCAACGAGCTATGCGCCGTAATTAACTACCACTCGCCGGACAGGGCCGGCAGTTCGGGCGCCGGGAGCGCCGCTAACAAGCATAAGGCGGATAAGTCGTCGATATTGAGGGCGTCGATAGCTTTTCTTAAGACTCAATCGGAACTAATGGATACTAAGGCTAGCGATGAGTCGCGCCAACAGAGTCGGTCTATTGAGGGGATGGCCGGCGAGGGGACGGGCGTCCAGACGACGAGTATATTCTCGTGGAAGCCGTCGTTTTTGGCGAACGACGAGTTCGTTCATCTCATGCTTGAAGTAAGCCTTCATTCGTCACTATTTTATTACATGAATACAGAATATTCTGTGAATACAAATGCAATTAATTGTTGAGACAACAGTCAAAATACAAGCAATGAGTGTAGCATTTATTAGTGTAGGGATTAGAGTTGAGATTAATGTAATTTTTCTATAGATTTTTTTGTAAATAATTCATAGAAACTGTAAAAATTTATTTAATATAAAGTTTTAGTGAATAAATAAAATGTTGAGTAAAGTGTTGGTGTGGTTTTAAGTCTAGTTTTAAGTTCATTAATAATACCAGTATTAAGAGTGTGTAAAACAGCTGTAAAAGGGCTATAAGAGTGTGAATTAAATAGGAGCTCAAAGAGTATGTATAAATTAACTTTAAAAGTACCCAGGTACAAACAGTGCTGTATAAACGAGGGTCTTAAAAGTCTTGCTATTCATTGCAATTTTTAAAGCACTTTACTTTAATACCAAACAAAATGTTAGACATTTACTGAATCGATATTATATTCAGAAAAACAATTAAATTAATGTTAACATCAAATAAATCAAACTATGCTATTTAAAAATGATTGCACCAAGGTAACACCAAATGATAGGGAGTACACAATTGTATTGTATGATCCCATAGGCATTGGATTCATTCGTAATCATAATCGACGGCACAATTGGCGGCAAAATCATATACCTCTCGGAGACGGTGTACCCATTGCTGGGCCTGTCGTACACTAAACTAAACCATAGGCTGACCGGCGATGACCTCACAGACAGGCTAACCATTTATGATCTCATTCACGACGAAGAGAAACGTTTTGTCGAAGAGTTCTTAAGCCGAGAACAGCTCGTCTCCAAAGACAACTCACGGGACACACCGTTGGCCACCATTTTAGTGCACTTCAGAGACCACGACATCGACAACCGGTCGGCCGCCTATCGATTGGTGCGTCTCATTGGCTCATTCAGTCGCTTAACCATCGATGAGGTGTCGGCGCCTTGTTTTGTAGGCATCGGTCGCCTCCAGACGCCTAAATTCTTACGGGAACTACACTTCCAGGCGTCCGACGGACGGAATAATGAGTTTATTTCTCGTAATTCACTCGAATGGAAGTTCCTATACCTGGACCACAGGTATGACTAACCTCTACGTACGAGTATCATGCTAAGTTTTATAGTAATTTTAGCTACCAGTGCCCTCGATATAATTTCCAGATACTAGTATTACTTTTAATAGTTTTTAAGTTTTAATTGATTTAATTTAACAACACATGGATCACTCCCCACCTACAGGGCCTGTCCTATCATAGGATATCTGCCATTCGAGATCCTGGGCACCAGTGGCTACGACTACTACCACTGGGACGACTTGGACGACATCGTGTCGGGTCACGAGCGGCTCATGAGGTCGGGCGAGTCGACCAGTTGTTTGTATCGGTTTCTCACGAAAAGCCATCAATGGATTTGGTTGCGGACCGACCACTACATCGCTTACCACCACTGGACGGCCAAACCGGAGTACGTTGTCTGTAGGCATGCGGTGGTCGACGAGTCGGTGGTCGCCGATCACAAGTCCCGCGTAATTATGGATCGCGTGAATCGCAAATCGCAGCCAAATATAGCGGTCAGCAGTTGTGGCGATAATAATGACGGCTCGGCGACAGTACCGCAGCCCTCGTCAACAGCCGGACCCATGTGTTGGTCCGCTGATAGCTATACTGATGGGCAGACTACTGGTGAGTATGTGGGTGTGAATGGCAGTCAACTGTCCGCCGATGGCTCGCAGAGTGCTATGAGTACTGACAGTAAGAGCGAAGAGACTCCTAATAAGACTGATAGGAGTTTAACGACGAAAAAGGGGTCGCCTTTGAAGGAGTTTTTGCGACAAAAGCATAGATTACTTGAGAACCAAATCCGTCGACAACAGGAAGAGTTGAGACGAGTGACCGAACAGTTGGATTTGGTGGGGGAGGGCAGGGGTCAGGACACCGGTAGTCATTAAAAGTCGTCAATAATTATGGCTTAAGAATATTAATGATAAGAATATTCACGAGTCTGTCGATAGTGTGTGTGATTTATGTGCCGTTCAGTCAATACAATAATCGCCAAAATCATTGATTTGTAATTAAATTCAATTATAAAATAAAATAATTAAGTTTTGGTTATAATTCACGGGATTTCTATGTTATGTAATTCTGTGTACACTGGTGACTGTCCATCAAAGTGTATATTGTATTGTAGTTTTCATGTATTTTATACTGTACTGTACTACAGCGTTGTTACTAAATAAGGAACCCATTTGAGGGGCTTGCTATTTGGACACCCTGTATTATTTTTTTGAAATTCTTTCATAAACATAAACTGGAAT